TGTTAATAATGTCACCTAGGCAACTTTTTCCTGCTTTGGAATCTGTCTGAAAGCTCATCTACTCCAAAAACATTTCCTATTTTAAACCTACATATGCAATTGGGCCCATCCTAATCAACTAAAATCATTATTACAATCTCTATATTAAAATTAAAAGAAAAAAGTCTACTATTTTTCATCACCTACAGAAAAACTCACCCATTTTATTTTGGAATGTTTACAGTACAATTCACGTGTCTTTCCCCTTGGGCTTAGTTGGAGCCTTACAAGGTTTGGTAAATTTGAGTCAGCTCCAAAGACAGCATTTTCTCCATCCACATCCCATATCCATCTTAACTTGTGGAAGAATGAAGTGGTCCTCATGTTCATACTGTTAAAAACAGAACCCAAGTTGGCATTCTAACACAACTCTTTACTGATCTGTATGACATCTGTCGTTTTTACCCTTTCCCCTCATTGTATCTCCTTAAGGACATAAACTTTCCCAAAAAGCACTATTTTTCAGGGCACCCTGATGTCTGCCCACATAGCCTCGTCCCTCCCCTTCCCTAACACTCAACACAGTAAACCTTTGCAATCACTGATTTACAGTCTCCATGGGGCAGGGCTGTTTCCTCTTCTGCTGCTTAAATCCTCAGCACCAGGCAAATAATGGTTGTCCAACAAGTTGGAAAAAAAAAAAAACACAAAAGCTAATCACTTTTTAAAACTCTATCTTATGTTAGAACTCAAGAGGAAGGAGGGTAGTGACTTGGATGGGACAGGAAGGGGACTTCAGGGCTGCTATCATGTTCTAACCATCAGGTTACTTGAGCATGTTCATCAGTTGAGTAATTAGTGCACTTTCTGAATGTGCTACACTCCAGCAAAAAAAGTTCAAGTCTATCATTATCTGATGAAGCAGGAAGTTATAAGCATTCAGATTGCCATTAAAAATAATTAACAGGGGTGCCTGGCTGTTTCAGTGGGTAGAGCATGCAACTCTTGATCTCAGGGTCATGAGTTCAAGCCACACATTGGGCATGGAGCCTACTTTTAAAAAAAGAATGATAATAATAATTAACAGACATTGTTTCTGAACATGTAAAGTTAAACTTCAAGAACCAAAATATTCGTTTATGTCAGAAAATGCAGTCTTGGTGGGGTTGCTGGGCTGCCCGGACGCAGAGAAGACAGGAGTAGCGGGCCACTGAATAAGCTTCCAAAATGATGCCCATACCAGTTACCCTGTTGAAAGATGGGGCTGATAGCTCCCAAGGCATCCCCCAGCTTTTAAGGAACATCAGTGCCTGCCAGTTGATTGCGGAGGCTGTAAGAACCACCCTGGGCCCTCGTGGCATGGACAAGCTGATTGTAGATGGCTGAGGCAAAGCAACAATTTCTAATGATGGGGCCACAATTCTGAAACTGCTCGATGTTGTCCATCCTGCAGCAAAGACTTTAGTGGACATTGCCAAATCCCAAGATGCTGAGGTCGGTGACGGTACCACCTCAGAGACCCTGCTGGCTGCAGAGTTTCTGAAGCAAGTGAAACCCTACATGGAGGACGGTTTGCACCCACAGATCATCATCCAAGCTTTCCGCACTACCACCCAGTTGGCAATTAACAAGATCAAAGAGATTGCTGTGAACGTGAAGAAGGAAGATAAAGTGGAACAGAGGAAGCTGCTGGAGAAGTGTGCCATGACCACTCTGAGCTCCAAGCTGATTTCCCAGCAGAAAGCCTTCTTCGATAAGATGGTGGTGGATGCAGTGATAATGCTCGATGATTTGTTGCAGCTTAAAATGATTGGAATCAAGAAGGTGCAAAGTGGTGCCCTAGAGGAGTCCCAGCTGGTAGCTGGCGTCACATTCAAGAAGACTTTCTCTTATGCTGGGTTTGAAATGCAACCCAAAAAGTACAATAATCCAGTGATTGCCCTTTTAAATGTTGAGCTTGAGCTGAAAGCTGAGAAAGATAATGCTGAAATCAGAGTCCACACGGTTGAGGATTATCAGGCAATCGTTGATGCTGAATGGAACATTCTCTATGACAAGTTAGAGAGGATCCATCATTCTGGAGCCAAAGTCATCTTGTCCAAACTCCCGATCGGGGATGTGGACACCCAGTACTTTGCCGACAGGGACACGTGCTGTGCTGGCCGAGTGCCAGAGGAGGATCTGAAGAGGACGATGATGGCCTGCGGAGGCTCCATCCAAACGAGTGTGAATGCTCTGTCGTCAGATGTGCTGGGCCGCTGCCAGGACTTTGAAGAGACCCAGATTGGAGGCGAGAGGTACAATTTCTTCACTGGCTCTCCCAAGGGCAAGACTTGCACGATCATCCTTCGTGGCAGTGCTGAGCAGTTTATGGAGGAGACAGAGCGGTCCCTGCACGACACCATCATGATTGTCAGGAAGGCCATCAAGAACGATTCAGTGGTGGCTGGTGGTGGGGCCATTGAGATGGAGCTCTCCAAGTCCCTGCGGGATTACTCCAGGACCATTCCAGGAAAACAGCAGCTGTTGATTGGGGCATATGCCAAGGCCTTGGAAATTATCCCACGCCAGCTGTGTGACAATGCTGGCTTTGATGCCACAAACATCCTCAATAAGCTGCGCACGCAGCGTGCCCAGGGGGGCATGTGGTACGAGGACATTGCTGACGTCGAGGCCTTTGTGAGGGAGCCAGCCATGGTGCGCATCAGTGCCCTGACCGCAGCCTCTGAGGCCACCTGCCTCATCTTGTCAGTAGATGAAACCATCAAAAACCCTCGCTCAACAGTGGATGCTCCCCCAGCTGCGGGCCGGGGCCGGGGCCGCCCTCATTGAGAGGCGCCCTGCCCCTCACGCGAGTGGCTGGCAGACTGGCTGCAGGGTATGCTTGCTCTCCCTGTCTTGGTCCATTGGTATTAGGAGGAAAGGGTAGTAATTGGCCCACTCTCTTCTCACTGGAGGTTATTTAAATAAACGTAAGACTTAGAATTCACTTTGCAAATTAAAAAAAAAAAAGAAAAAGAAAATGCAGTCTTGGCCGTGGAAACTATCAGAAGTACACTGCACCAGTCACAATGGGAAAGATTCATTGAGATGAGGTACATAAAGTTCTTATAACAGTGCTAGGTACATAGTGCTGGATGTTAGCTACTATTACACTTTTTAACACATCAGAAGCATTTCCAGATGAATGAAGGATTCAGCTTAGATCACAGCAAATTTCCTTCATTTCCTTTGCCCTTAACTCTTTCAAAATAGTTATGGAGTCCACATCGCCACCTGGTTTGTTTTAGTTATGCCTGAGGAATTCACAACTCCCAGGCTAAGAATCATGGAACATCTGCACTGAAAGAGAGCACAGAGACCCTCTGTGGTCCAGTGATTCTCCAGTATGCACATCACTGGGGCACTTGTTAAAAGTTCAAGTGTCCACATCAGATTCTTATTCACTTAGTGTGACAGTAGCACCTAGGAATTTGCATTTTTTTAACCAGCTCTTCGAGTGATTCTGAAGGTGGTCTACAAGAAACAATTAACCTCTTGTTTTGTAGATGAATAAAATAGAGGCCAGGGAGGGAAGGGACCTGCCCAGAGTCTTCCTTCTGGTTAATGAGTATGCCAGGATGAGAATGAAGGTCGCCTTTTACCACTCCAGTGTTATTTCCATGAATCCATGCCACAATAACTTAGGACCCAGAATGAATCTGTCCTAAGCCCTAATGGCTTATTCCACTGAGCCCTTTGCCTTTTCACCCATGCATTAGGTTAACTGGAAAGGCACAAAAACCCACCTGTATATTCATTAGGTATACAGAACCAGGTACTTTAGAAAACTAGTTTCTAAATCAATCATCGCTCCAATATTTTTACACACTATGTGACACTGAGATAGTTATTTGAATTCTATGTGCTTTAGTTTCTTCCTTTATAAAGTGACAAAATAACAGCTATGGTTTGCAGGATATTGTGAAGACTTATGTAAAATCCTAGCACAGAGCTTGGTAAATAATGAGGTTCTAGTAAATAGTAGCTATCATTAATGCCATCTTAAAACATGGCACTTCAACTTCATTCTTCAGACTAGAGGAGTATCCCCAAGTGTGGTTCCCTACAAACAGAATCATCTAGAAGTCCTCGTTTTTTTAAAATACAGACTTCTGAAACTTGCCCCTCATAAGACCTGGTGAATCAGAATCGTGGGGGCGAGACTCAGAAGTCTGTATTAACAAGCAAGTACCCAGGGTCTTCCTCTGTATACTTAAGTTTGAGCAACATTGGACTAGGGCTTCTTGTCAGTGAAAACACTCGTATCAATGAGAGCCAGCTAGTGCTGAACACTCAAATACTAACAATTTTCTGTTAATAAGAGGTAAATGGGTGCCACCTACTGCCTTATTTTGGAATGCAACACTCAGACTGGTTCAATTCTTCTCTCAGTAATTGAATTCACTGTGAAAAATTAATCAATCCAGAACAAGATATTCAAGCAGTAGAAAGAAAGCATTGTTGGAAGGAGACATGAAAACAGACTTAACTAGAAGAAAACTTTCTCAGTTAAAGGGTTCTTGGAGTTCTAGATTAATGTATCTAATAAACTTCTGTAGTTCCAAGTTACTGCTAAAGCAGTAACAGAAAATATAATGCCTCACCTATTGGCCTATGTCAACAGTGAAAGCAAAAACAGAATTACAGAATGCCCTAAAATACATGTAGCTATGCTCACCTCCACTACCTCCTCCCCAGTCCCAAGAGAAAACCAAGTGAAACAAGAACAAGCTTTCTTATTCTGTAACATTCTACTCAAGGCCAGTATCTAAACTGCCACCTGCAGTTGGAAAGTTAACATTCCCTGCCAAAGGTACTCAAATAAACCTTCTGAATTATACTCTGTTTAAAGCTGATTTCCCCTTCCAAGTTGCAAATGCATAAATACACCCAGTGGTTCAAAAGGGATGGGCAAAGCCTTATAAATATTCATGTAAAATGAGCAATTATATTTCATATTGCAATAACTCAATGACAAATCATAAAAAGCATTTGTCTTTAATTTCTGTTTGTTTTTAAGAAATAAATGGCAAAATATATACACTGTGGCTTCTGAATCCCCTATCACAGAGTGTGAATAATGGTCCGGTTGCGGAGCTCCTGAATATACTCTTTGGCGTGGGTGACTGCCGTCTTCGGTGCCTCACGTGGAGGTGGGGGGCCTTCCACCAACTTCACAAAATAATGGCAAAAAACCTTCTCCATGATCCCAAAGCGACCTCTGCCATGGTATCGGATGCGTTTCAGGTACTGGCCTCGCCCTGAGGTCGACTCAGCTAGACAGGAAGACAAAGAGAGTTATAGGAAATGACTGCATCTGTAAGACTATAGCTCAAAAAAAATTTTTTTTTAATTAAAATTGAAAATAAAAAGACTATAGCTTGATCACCTGAGCAACTTCTGTCCTTTCCTCGACTAGATTCTAAAACTACATGAGTTCACTGGCTGGTAAGAGCAGATTTGTCTCAAAACAAGTGTCTCTTGAGTACTTATTAAGGACCAGCCTCTATTCTAGGTGTTGGAGAGAGAAGAGTGAACAAGACTAGCAAGGACCCTGCCTCCATGCAGTGTACATTCTAGAGGAGAGAGACAGAAAATAAACATGATCATTCCAGTTAGTGACAAGTACAATGAATTAAACAGTGACGTGAGAGAGATTGATGGGGTGCTGGGGGCAACATCAGACTGTAGGGTGTCAACAGGCATCTCTGAGGAAGAGACATTCGATCCAAGACCAGAATGAATCATCCATGCAAATATACAGGGGCATGGTATTCCAGGCAGAGGGAAAATCAAGTGCAAAGACCAAAGGTGGGAATGTGCTTGGTTTGTTTTATTTTTTATTTAAAGTCAATTCAATTAACATATAGTGTATTATTAGTTTCAGAGGTACAGTTTAGTGATTCATCATTTGCATATAACACCCAGTGCTCATTACTTCAAGTGCCCTCCTTAATGCCCATCACCCAGTTCCTCCTTCCCCCCACCTACCTCCCCTCCAACAACCCTCAGTTTGTTCCCTATAGTTAAGAGTCTTTCATGGCTTGTCTCCCTCTCTTTTCGTCTTATTTTATTTTTCCTTCCCTTCCTCTATATTCATCTGTTTTGTTTCTTAAATTCCACATATGACTGAAATCATGTATTTGTCTTTCTCTGACTGACTTATTTTGCTTAGCACAATACCCTCTAGTTTCATCCATGTCGTTGCAAATGGTAAGATTTCATTTTTTTGATGGCTGAATAAAATGCCACTGTATATATACCACATTTTCTTTATCCATTTATCTGTTGATGGACATCTGAGCTCTTTCCATACTTTGACTACTGTCGACATTGCTGCTATAAACATTGGGGTGCAGGTGCCCCTTCAAATCCCTATTTCTGTATTCTTCAGATAAATCCCTAGTAGTTCAGTTGCTGGTTCATAGGGTAGTTCTAGCTTTAACTTTTTGAGGAACCTCCATACTGTTTTGCAGAGTGTATGCACCAGTTTGCATTCCCACCAGCAGTGTAAAAGGGTTACCCTTTCTCCACATCCTCGCCAACATCTGTTGTTTCCTGAGCTGTTAATTGTAGCCATTCTGACTGGCGTGCTGGCTTGTTTTAGGAACAGAAAAAACACCAGCCTGCTGAAACACAGTAAACAAAGCAAAGAGTGGTACAAACAAGGGAAGGAGATCAGTGGTGAAGGCAAGGTTACGGAGAGCCCTAAAGGCTGAGATAAAGAGTTTTTATTTCACTCCAACTGTGGTAAGAAGCCCCTGGAACCAAAGGTTCCCAAATGCTGGTCCTCTGGCTACATCAGACTAACCTACGGAACATATTTTAAACGCAGATGCTGAGGGCCCATCTCTGGAGATTCTAATTTACTGTATTTGGGGTGGGCCTTCGAAATTACATTCTGAACAAACACCAATACCCTTACCCCAGTAATTCTCATTTGTGGCCAATTTTAGGAACTCCCACATCACAACTGCTCCCTCATCTCCCCTCCCCAATTCTGCATGTCAACATCTGACCTTGTAAATTTAAAGAATTTTTTCAAATACTAGTTAAGAAGAAATCTGTTCACCAGTTTTCACCCACAGTAAATAAGAGGAGTAACCACCTTCTACTATTTTCTGAATTTAGTCAATTTCTCCTTTTTTTTTTTTTTTTTTTAAGATTTTATTTGTTTATTTGACAGAGAGAGCACAAGCACGGGGAGCAGCAGAGGGAGAGGGAGAAGCAGGCTCCTCACTAAGCAGGGAGCCCGACCTGGGGCTTGATCCCAGGACACTGGGATCATGACCTAAGCTGAAGGCAAACACTTAACCGACTGAGCCACCCAGGCGCCCCAGTCAGTTACTCCTTGAGTTAATTTAATAAGCCTTTTAATAAGCCAAAACCTACAGAAGACATATCAAATTAATCTACTTCAATACTCACCATTCTTATATTCTTACTGTGACATAACCTTATAAATACAGGGACTATGTCAAAGTATACACTTGACAACCCTCTAACTACAGTCCTCCATGAAATGGGTTTCAGCAGAAACATCCTAGCTTGGCCAGAGAGAAAGCTAAGGATGAAAGTGATTAAGGAAACTGCTTAGGGCCTCCGTGAGATAAGGAAAGAGCTACTGTCCTTATACCAACTTCATCACTGGGCGCTAAAGAAATGTGTTTGAGGATTTCCAAAGAGAAAGCCAAATTACACAAATCACTTTAGAATGAAGTACCACTAGTTCCTCTGGATCCACCTGTCAGGAGGAAACCTACAAATAAGCACAATGTCACTAGAAAAGTGTAGAAATCCTCTAAAAGGCATTTTACAAACATAATGGCTGCTTCTATCCAAAATTATGACTCTACTCAACTTGAGCAGCCATTTCCAAATACTCTGAGGAAAAGGAACACTACTCCAGTGAAAATAGCATCTGAACTAGCTAACTATGCAGTACTACATAACCTATCCAAGCACAATGATCAGCCTATCAGGGTCTGTGTTAACTACCATTTTCCATCTCCCCCAAATATGTAAGAGCAAACACCAATATCTGCTAATTGCCAGTCATGATTTCATCCTAAAGCCATAAAATACCATCTGCCTATCTTTAGTACATAATGCCACATTTTTTATGTCAGAACAAAAGCATCAATTCTTCTGAAACACCAGGATTCTTTAATACAACGTAATGGGAATATGCAACACAGCCACTGTGAGGTCTGAATGAAATTAGGACTTAGGAGTATAGATTCCAAATTGGTTTCTGGTCTCCCCTCCTCCAGTCTCTTTTACTAATTCTGTATGTTAGGGATTTTAACTGCTTTTATATAGAACCATTTCAATGAAAATGAAACAATAAATAGAAGCCTACTGTCCTGTGGCTCTGTTCTAATTGAAACATGAGTAGGGAGAGATCCAAAACCGTGCCATTCATTCACTCACCAAATATTTCTGAGTTCCTGCGGGGTGCTGGGCTCCATCCTGGGCTCCAGGGCTGCAACAGTGACCCAGATATCAAGGAACCCCTCTGTTTGCCCTATGCCCCACCCCTGGAGGCCCCAAGGCACAATTTCAAAACCATTGCTTTATAGTTAATAATCTTAAAACACTGCCTTAATAACATAAATCTCTCACCCCAAAACTTTCTGTGGTTCCTCTCCACTATCGTGTGAACCAAATTCCACAGCCCGCCATGCTCAGCCCTCTGGATCTAGGCCCAATCCACCTTTCAGTTTTATTTACTCAAGGTCAACCCTCTGCTTCCTTCAATTATTCTACTCACTGGACCACACAATTACTGCTCATTTCAACCTATGTGCCTTAGCTCACGTGGTTACTCCACTCTGAAAACTTTCTTTCTTCCTGGATACTCTTTGGATACCAAACCCCTATCTTCAAAAGCTAAATTCTTCTAGAAAATTACCATGACGTTTCTAACCAATACTGACCTCCTCTTGTCTACTACTATTTACCTATATTACTCTTTTTGGTCTCAAACCATATGCTATCCTGTATAAGTGTTCATGTTTCATCTATAAAAGTCACTTCCTCAACCAAACTTATATGTCTTTTGTATTGCCCCTAAAGTTCATGTTCAATAAGGAATAGAAATGATTTTGAAATACAACCTCTGCTAATTAATACCATTTTTTCAATATAGCTATCTGGTAAATTTGCTCAAATTCTAAAATAAGTTTCAAAGTTTTCCAAGTACATACAGTACTAATAACGTATATGGTTTGTTCCAACTCAGAAACACAATTTATGTATCCTTCCAAAGGACCACTACTGTCAAAGAACAAAACTATATGTGCTAAATGTTTTAAACTGCTTTAATAAGATATACCATCACCAAACTGTGTGGGCAGTATGCACGCGGAAGATACTCAAATACTTTCTGAATCAGAGAAAAAACATTAAGACATCTCAAAAATGGGAACAGCCTAAAGATTATGCCCAAGATGATGCTCATCTAAAGATGATGCCCAACAGGTATCAAGAATATTTAAAATATTGTCAATATTTCCTATTTACTAGTATTTAGATAAATGTAAATCTTGACATTTTAAAATTGGAAACCCTCTTCCCCCTTCATCACTCTTAGCCCAGAAGACTGATTTACAAAGTCAGTCAATCACTTTCCCCAAAGTGAATCACTTTAGATGTCATGAATCACTAAGCAGTGACATTTTATTAGTCCATGGCCACTTGTTAAGGTCTATTCACAGTGCCATTAGTCATCACTCTAAGTTTGAAAAGGAAATAATTTTCAAAATCTGTGGTCATGCAACACCAGGTATTGGCTTTAGACTGATGACAGGCATTTGAAGGAATTACCATATAATGAGAACATATGCTACGAAAAAAGCACTTGCCTTAAAATGCCTATACTTACTTACGTCAAGAGACTGAGGAGCCATTGCTGGGCCGAAATCGTAGCCAACAAGTGACTAGTCTTTCAAAACTCTAAAAGACAATTATCTATGGAATGAAATGTCTAGGCCTTTTCCAAGAATACAATGAGAAAAATCAGTTTCCCGTATTTTATAGGTAAGAATCACTGGGATATTAATTAAACAAATAGCTCTCCAGGCCTCCCCTGAGGTTTCAGACCCAGTGGGTCTACAGTGGGTCCTGGGAATCTGTATTTTTTTACTAAGAACCTCAGATGATTCTTATGAGGGAAGTTTGGCAAATCCAGGGACAAAAGGTCTGACATGTCATGGTAAGATACTTCATCTTCCTGAGGGTACTCCTCTCTTTTACCTTCATAAAAGAATTAGGCAGCAAAATACTTAGCAAATGAGTTTTTATAATCACAAGGCAAATCCAAATTTATCAGCCCTACTCAAGAGAAGAGATTTTTACACAAAACTGAATGAAAAAAGGGTGCAGGTCAGTAGAGATTTTTCAGCAGAAATGTGCATAAGGAGACCCATGAATTAAAGGCCCATTCATGTAGGATTGGTTAAGTTTATTTTTGCTTAATGGCAACACTGGACTTTGCTCTTTTGTTTGGGAAGATAAGATTAAGCTCCTCACCCTTTCTCACTTTACTAAAATTACTGAAAAGGATTTAAAAACAAATTCTATTTCATTTGTATCTGAATTCCATTACAAAGTTTTGTCTGTCAGAAGGCCATATTCCTATGAAAATGAATAAAATTAATTTAAATTGGATTTGATATCCAGTCATAAAGCAGGAAAGGTCACCAAGAGGTTTTAAGCAAATGGTCTTGCTCTTCATCCATTTCATCTCTTCCAATGATTCTGGGCCCTCCCTGCATTATTTATTCATGCTGCTCTCAGACGAAAAAGCTTATGAGTGAGTAACTATGATGGCCCTGCATCTTCTGAGATGCCATTTTGATCTCTCTCTGCATCTACGCATGTAGCAGAATATAATCAATTATACAAGATTCAGCTTTAAAATAAGATATTTCAATTGAAAATCATAACTCATTTGAATTTCAGGAGTAGGTGTGGTTGCCAGCACCAATTCCAGGTGAGCTGAGGTAGGTTTTAACTTAACCAGAATAAATATCTCCAGGAGGGTAGAAGTAATGTGACAAAGTAGAATTTAGATGATTTGTTTTTACTCTAATAGTTAAAAAATCATAAGGCACAACTAATTTCTCCCATAATGATTCGGCCTTTTTTCCTCTATTTGGGCAGTAGCAGTACCCCGTATCTTGAATTTAAAATATCTTCAGTTCTTCTTATACATAGGTTTGGCAGATTGAGAAATTTTTGCTTCGACATCAACATCTTTGTTAGATTACAAAATTGCTGAGGTTAGGAGTAATTGCTGCTGAAGTGAAAAGGAAAACAGCAACTCCACCCAGCACTCCACTTCACTGTGGTGTTGGGAGGGGGACAAGGGGGCTTTGTAATAAGCACTGATCTCTTTCTAGAAAAAGACCTGTATGAAGGTATGCGACAAAAAAATCCCTCACATTTGTATGGTGCATCACGCTTCCCAAAGCATTTTCACTTACATTAATTTAATTTGATATGGTACAAGCATAGAAAACCTGAGATAATGCTTCAGAATGTAAAAACAAAGGGAAACAAACACGTTTGGGTCATCTGAGCCTTGGCTTTTACAATTCAACAGATTTTCCATTCTGGTAATTGGAACGTTAAATTACGGGACACCTTTATGGATTAAGCACCTGGCTTGGCCCATTATAAATAAAGATTTTCTAAAGTCCACCTGTGATTCTTTATTTACCTCCTTCAGGCTGACAAAGAATTCATTTTTTAAAAAATCAGTTCTGTTCCTTCTCACTTTTATCATGATTAAAGGACCACTCCATGTACCATAATCTTGTACCCATTATTAAGTAATTATTGGCAATAGGTTTCATGATCCCACTCGTATTACAGAACAGGTAACAAGAAAGCAGTGAGGTTATTACCATTTATAACAGACTAACATTAGCATGCTGAAGGCAGAAGAATAAGCTATTACCAGCAATTTTCATTGGCAAACGCAGTCCTAAGTAGTTAAATATCAAAGACTATTGTTAGATAATGAACTCGGCATCACTATTGGAAGACATTTTCCAATGCTAAGAATATTAAACATCTTACCTATATATAAATTGGATCTGAATTCCACATTGTGGTCTCTCACTGCCATATCTTGTGCTTCTAAGAGAATCTTAAACAAAGAAAAGACAGGCATTGATATGGCTGACCCTGAACTAAAATGGAATTAAATTCCTCATTTCTTGTTGTTATCTCTATAATATGACTGCTAATCACATGCCTCTGTTTTATAGCCAATTTTAAAAAGAGAATATTAAATGAACAGTACTAAGGAGAAGGGATACACTGAGCTCTCCTTCCTCAGATAAGAACTGCGAATGCAGGCAACACAGTCCATCCTGCTAAGTGTACGATGGAATGTATGAGTTGGAAAGGAGGAAACAGCAGTACTGGTAGCAGGTACCCTTGGTGATAAGCATTATGTCTTTGAGTCAGAGATTGTCAAAAAGTTCAAGAAGCTTAAGAGCTAACCCTTATTGAAAATTCTTCAACTTTGGATCCAAAATAACCATTAAACAACATCAAACAAGTAGAGAAAATCATACTTGAAAATTTTAAGAATTATTAAATTTATACTCTGTAGATATTTTGAATTAAGTTAACCTGCTCCAGAACACATTTTTTAAAAATAACAAAAACCGTGGGGTGCCTGGGTGGCTCAGTCGGTTAGGCATTAACTCTTGATTTCGGCTCAGGTCATAATCTCAGGGTTGTGAGATTGAGCCCTCTGTCAGGCTCCGTGCTCAGCACAGAGTCTGCTTGGGATTCTCTTTCTCTCTTTCTCCCTCTGCCACTCCCCCTGCTCGCTCATGTATGCAAGCTCTCTAATAAATAAAAAGATAAATCTTTTAAAAAAAAATCAAAACCTAGATCTTTCACTCATTTAAAGATAAAGAATACAATACAAAACTGAGTACACAGGGAGCCTGGGTGGCTCAGTCGTTAAGCATCTGCCTTCGGCTCAGGTCATGATCCCAGGGTCCTGGGATCGAGCCCCGCATCAGGCTCCCTGCTTGGCCAGCAGCCTGTTCTCCCTCTCCCACTCCCCCTGCTTGTGTTCCCTCTCTCACTGTCTCTCTCTCTGTCAAAAATAAATAAAATCTTTAAAAAAAAAACCCAAAAAACTGAGTACACAAAAGATACTTAGTCATTGTATTCTGAACTAAATTAAATATAGGCATTACAATGGAACCTCTTGAAGTCTGAACCCATCAACCTCAACTGTTAAACTACTAAACTAAAAAATCTCGCTTTTCAGTGAGAACTAACTGAAATGGAGAAAATACTGCTGATATCCCCAGATGTCCTCAACCCAGCATTTTGAAAGAATACCATGTATCCACATTGAGGAAGGTAGGAAGTGCAGGGACGTGGTTTAGGGGAGAAATGGACTGCAGGTGCTGCAGAGGGGAGGGAGCCATCGTCGCAAATAAGGGTGAGAGAGGAGCACACAGGGGAATGCACAAGAACGTTTCCCCATAGCCAGTGGCTTGGAACACAAGAGGGGCTGAATTTAGTGAGTTCTTACAGACAGTGGGGCTTAAAGTCTGGAGTTTTAATGGTCATCAGACTTGGCTGGGAAGAGACGCCAGAGGGTACTGTACTACTCCTGCAGAGAAGGCAGGCAAACAACCCAGGGGAAGACATCATGGAAATAGTGATCTGAAGAGCACCTAGGGCACACAGTGGGGAAATTATGCACTCTTCTCAGAGCACCTTCCTGAGAGGCAGTGATCACAGAGACCTCTAGGAACAAAGGAGCTGGGTAGTGGCATTCCCCCCCACCCCCACCCCTCAGCATAAACTCAGAGCCACCTGAGGGAAGCAGCTCAGCACCAACACTGACTGCCTAATTTGCTTCCACCAAACCCCAACCCCCTGTGCTCTGGTGGGACTGCCCCTCTCAGTCAAGGCTGGCTCAGACCCAGTGTGGCAGGCCCCTCCCCCAGAAGACCAGCACAAACCCCTGCCTACACCATGTCTCCTGACCAGAGAGTTTTGCAGGGCCTTAGTTCCAGTGGAGGTGGTGACAGGTCTCATTTCACAAGCAGACCAGAGCACATCTAGTTAAAATTTGCCACATTCAGGCCAGGGACCAAACACTGCCCACAACAGGCAAGGAGAGCCTCTGCAGATGACCCGAAGGATAGAACAGCCAGAACACAACAGCAGAACACACAAAGCACACACCAAAGACACTCCCTGAAGCACCAGGCCCTGGGCTTCATCTCTTCTTCATAAGGTCATTACTTTCAGAAACAGGAGACATAACTCACTTTTCTTTTTTTTTTTTTTTTTTTAAAGATTTTATTTATTTATTTGAGAGAGAGAGAGAGAGAGAAACAGCATGAGAGGGGATAGGGTCAGAGGGAGAAGCAGGCTCCCCGCTGAGCCGGGAGCCCGATGTGGGACTCAATCCCAGGACTCCGGGATCATGACCCGAGCCGAAGGCAGGCGCTTGACCAACTGAGCCACCCAGGCGCCCCATAACTCACTTTTCTAACACACAGAAGAAGCCAGAGACTTAGACAGAATGCCAAGATGGAGGAGTTTATTTCAAATGAAAGAACAAAATAAGGCCACGGCCAGAGATCTAAGTGAAACAGATATAAGTAACATGCCTGACAAAGAATTTAAACCAATGATCATAAGGACATTCACTGCACTTGAGAAAAGAATGGAAGACATCAGTGAGACCCTTAGCATAGAGATAAGAGTTAAAAAAAAAAGTGAGAGATGAAGAATGCAATAAAGGAGACTGGAAACAGGCTTGATGCAATGAATAGCAGGCTGGAAAAAGCAGAGAAATGAATTAGTGACCTAGAAGACAAAACAATGGAAAATAATGAACCTGAACAAAAGAGAAAAAGAAGAATTATGGAATCCGAGAACCAATTTAGGGAACTCAGTGACTCCAGCAAACATAATAACATTCATACTATAGGAGTCCCAGAAGAAGAGAGAGAAGAGGGGGAAGAAAATTTACTTCAAGAAACAATAGCAGAAAACCTCCCTAATCTGGGGAAGGAAACAGACATCCAGATCCAGGAGGCACAGAGAACTCCCATCAAAATCAACAAAAGAAGGCCAACACCAACACATATTTAATTAAATTTACAAAATACAGTGATAAAGAAAAAAAATCTCAAAAGCAGAGAGACAAAAGAAGTCCTTAACCTACAAGGGAAAACCCATAAGGCTAGCTGGAGATTTCTCAACAGAAACTTGGCAAGCCAGAAGGGAACTACGTGATCTATTCAATGTGCTGCATAAGAAAAATCTGTAGCCAAGAATACCCTATCCAGCAAGGCTATCATTCAGAAGAGGAGAGATAAAGAGTTTCCCAAACAAAAACTAAAGGAGTTCGTGACCACTAAACCAGCCCTGCAAGAAATATTAAAGGGGACTCTTTGAGTGCAAAGGAGAGATCAGAAGTGACAAAGACAAGAAAGGATCAGAGAAAATCTCCAGAAACATCAACAAAACAAGTAATAAAATGGCAGTAAATATATATCAATAATTACTTTAAAAGAATAAATTATTACTTTGAATGTAAATGGACTAAACACTCCAATCAAAGACATAGGGTGTCAGAATGGATAAAAAAAAACAAGACCCATCTATATGCTGCCTACAAGAGACCCATTTTAATCTTAAAAATATCTGCAGTTGAAAGTGAGGAGTTGAGAAACATTTATTATACAAATGAATTCCAAAAGAAAGCCGGAGTAGCAATACTTAAATCAGACAAATTGGACTTTGAACAAAGACTGTAAAAACAGACAAAGAAGGGCATTATATAATCATAAAGGGGACAATCCAACAAGAAGATATAACAATTGTAAATATTTATGCACTGAACATGGGAGCACCCAAATACACAAAACAGTTAATAACAAACATAAAGGAGCTAATGGATAATAATACAACAATAGTAGGAGACTTTAACACCCCTCTTACACCAATGGACAGATCATTTAAACAGAAAATCAACAAGGGAACAACAGCTTTGAATGACACACTAGAACAAATAGACTTAACAGATATATTCAGAAGATTCCATCTTAAAGCAGCAGAATACACATTCTTTTCAAGTGCAAATGGAACATTCTCCAGAATGTATTATGGTCTAATATATATATGACCTAATATATTAGGTCACAAAACAGGTCTCAACAAATACAAAAAGATCGAAATCATACCATGCACCTTTTCTAAAGACTGTAACACTGTGAAACTAGAAGTCAACCACAAGAAAAAATTTGGAAAGACCACAAACACGTGGAGGTTAAACAACATGCTACTAAACAATGAATGGGTCAATCAGGAAATCAAAGAAGAAATTTAAAAAATACAGGGAAAGAAATGAAAATGAAAATACAACAGTCCAAAACCTTTGGGATGCAGCAAAAGCAGTCCTAAGAGAAAAGTACACAGCAATATAGGCCTACCTCAAGAAGCAGAAAAATCTCAAACAACCTAACCTACACTTAAAGGAGCTAGAAAAAGAACAACATACAATGACTAAAGCCAACAGAAGGAAGAAAATAATAAAGATCAGAGCAGAAATAAACGATATAGAAACTAAAAAAAAAAAAAAAAAATAGATCAAAGAAACCAGGAACTGGTTCTTTGAAAAAATTAATGATTGATAAAACTCAAAAAAAACAAAACAAAATAAAACAAACCAACAAACATCATGTGCCTACAATGAGTCAGCACAAATACCATTAGCACATTTGTACATAGTGATTCAGCTACTTTCATAGCTGGAAGGGTCTTTAGAAATCATTTAATCCAATTCCACCCAGTTGACAAATAAGAAAAATGGAACCAGACAGGTTAAGTGTTTTGCCCATCATCAAAATAGAAACTGTCACAGAAAAGAGTAGACTCTAATAAGCCTCCTGAGTCCCAGCAAGTGCTCTTTCCACCCAATTAGTTAAAATATCATAAGCTTAGGGCGCCTGGGTGGCTCAGTTGTTAAGCGTCTGCCTTCGGCTCAGGTCATGATCCCAGGGTCCTGGGATCCAGCCCCACATCGGGCTCCCTGCCCTGCGGGAAGCCTGCTTCTCCCTCTCCCACTCTCCCTGCTTGTGTTCCTTCTCTCGCTGTGTCTCTCTCTGTCAAATAAATAAATAAAATCTTAAAATAAAATAAAATAAAATATCATAAGCTCTCAGTTATGGAATTGACAAAAAAAAACCCCAAAAAACAATCTTCTAAAAAATCTATCAAATCCCAAATCACTAAAACAAAGATTTATCACATAGACAGTAAAAAATGAATAAATGTCTGGCTCAAATAAAAGCATGTCGAGAAAAAAAATAAACTTAAGGCATTCGACATTCCTAAGGTATAAGGACATTAATAAAACTGAGTGCCCTGAATCTGTATTATATGAATTATGCATTTACACCAGGGAATTCAGGATTTAGGCTAAGCTTATTAACACAGCAAGACAGCTATGCACTCCCTCCCCACAAATCTTAGTTTACCTCTTTAATTATTTGGGCTCCCTTTTTGTCACTGAATTCCAGTTGAGCCAAAGCCTGGTCAATGGACATTCCTCGTATCTAGAATTAAAGGGTAACAGACAAGAAAAGGTAAACAAATTAGTTTACAAAGTCAACGTTCCCTTTGCAATGAAAAGTAAAAGCCTTACATAATACAAACAAGTTCTAAAAATAGTTAACTAGCTATATGTCAATTACATCTCAATTGACATATAATTATATCTCAATTGACATATAGCTAGCTAGTTAATATAACGGGGGGGGGCCGGATTTAAAAAAATTAAAAATAAAAATAGCTAACTAAATGTAGGCAGAGAAGAAGAAAACAAGTTTGAGAAGGATGCCACCCTCTTTAAGTCAAAATCAAACTTAAATATTTTAACCATAAAACCTAGATTATAAATGTTTTAGTAATATTGAGAGAGCAGACATAACAGAAATCACAGGGTGGCGAGCACCACACTAGGAGTGAAAGGCATCTTCTTCTGCAGGATAAGTGTATTATATTTATCTGGGGCTTTGTCTTCTCTCATAGATAAATTTCATTCTCCCAGGAAAAATCTTATAAAGCAAGGGTTTTGAAATAGGTTGAATTAACTTTTAAGATAAATAAGCTTGCTTCCTGGATTCTTTCAGGGTATAGATTCCTGACGTCTTTGTTCTAAATATCTATGTATCCAACATGATTCAGTTTCTCAGAAGAAAAGTAAAAATTAAGCAAAATCACTCATCTCTGAGCAATCATTTGTGGATTACCTGTCAACTGTCTGAACATGTAATTATATTCCTCACTTTTTGGAGAAATCAGGACAAATTTTTTCGATTTTTCAAATCCTGGGGGAAAAGTCACAGCTTCTTTTCTTAAGTATTATATGGTAATGTCATTTTAGCTTACCAATTTTGCCAAATACCACATCTTATCTTTGCTGTATTTTATTTGCCTTCGACAATGGTAGATTTCCTTACAAATAGGGGAAAAAAAAAGTTAGCAAATTTATCAAAATAACAATAACATACACTGTCAATAAAACTTTAACTTTTTATGCCTAATGAAAATGCTGCCACAAGAAGTAAAAATGCTACGTTGTATTTTCCAAAGTCTCACTATATATATATTTTTTTAAGATTTTATTTATTTATTTGACAGAGAGAGAGATAGCTAGAGCAGGAACACAAGCAGGGGGAGTGGGAGAGGGAGAGGCAGGCTTCCTGCCGAGCAGGGAGCCCGATGCAGGACTCGATCCCAGGACCCCAGGATCATGACCTGAGCCGAAGGCAGACACTTAATGACTGAGCCACCCAAGCGCCCCAAGGTCTCACTATATTAAAAAGATCATTAAGGCAGTGATAGAAACTACAAAATGGCTACTTTGTGCCAAAATTTGCAACATTTCTATCCAGAGGAATAATAAAAGATCTAAATGAAAACATTTAGCTGGATAAAAGAACAAAAGAAAAGGTACAAGAAAAAAGTTTCCTCTCAGTGGGGAAAATAAGAGAATATGGTGAAAGAGACAAAATAACTGGTTTCACAGGACATTCTAGGTGTTTGGTCAAGAGCACAGGTCCTCAATCAGACTGCCTGGGTCTGAATTCTAATTCTACCATCTACTAGCTACAGAACCCAAGCTCTTTAACCTCTCTGCCTAAGTTTCCTCTTTTTTGAAATGAAGATAATAGTACCAACCACATAAAAATATAGTAAGAATTAAAGAAAATAATCTATGTAAAGAAAGCATTTTGCAGTGCCTAGCACCTGGTAAGATCCTAGTAAATGTCAGTTTTTATTATCTTCTATTTAGAGTAGTAAGTACATCCCATTTAATTTTTTTAATCTATCATCGATTATACAATTTACAGTTGACAAAGTACATTCCAAGCCCATTATTTCATTTGATCTAACTCTATGAGTTGGGAGAGAAAACACTTTATGATCCTTTTACAGGGGCGCCTGGGTGGCTCAGTTGGTTAAGCATCAGACTCTTGGTTTCAGCTCAGGTCATGATCTCAGGGTTGTGGGACGGAGCCCCGTGTTGTGCTCCACGCTTAGTGCAGAGTCTGAGATTCTCTCTCTTCCTGCCCCTCCCCGCCCCTGCCCCTCCCATGCCCCAGTCTCTCTCTCTCAAATAAATAAATACATCTTTAAAAAAAAAATCCTTTCGGGCACCTGGGTGGCTCAGTTGGTTAAGCGACTGCCTTCAGCTCAGGTCGTGATCCTGGAGTCCCTGGATCGAGTCCCGCATCGGGCTCCCTGCTCAGCGGGGAGCCTGCTTCTCCGTCTGACCCTCCCCTCTCTCATGTGCTCTCTCTCTCTCATTCTGTCTCAAATAAATAAATAAAATCTTTAAAAAAAAAAATCCTTTCATTGAACATTATATCAAAAACTAATGATGTACTATATGTTGGCTAATTTAATTTAAATTTTAAAAAAATAATAATAATCCTTTCACAAAGTAAAAACCAGAAAAAAAAAATCAGAAAAATCAAATGACTTATCTAAGACCACAAAGTTTGTGAGAGACAAAGCTGGAAGTCAAAGTGCCATACAGGAAGTATATGAAGTGTCTAACACAATGTCTGGCAAGTGTAACTTTAAAGCTCCCCTATAACTATAAAACCCACGTTCCTTCCACTACTACACCTATATTGCCCCTTCAAAACAATCAGAAAACATTTGGGACACCTGGGTGGCTCAGTCATTAAACATCTGCCTTCAGCCCAGGTCATGATCCTGGAGTCCTGGGATCGAGCCCCGCATCGGGCTTCCTGCTCCGTGGGAAGCCTGCTTCTCCCTCTCCCACTCCCTCTGCTTGTGTTCCCTCTCTCGCTGTGTCTCTTTCTGTCAAATAAATAAAATCTTAAAAAAAAAAAAATTAGAAAACATTTGTCAACGCAAATAATAGCAAGGAGACCTCAGAACTTTCTAACATTCTGACTCCTGCTGGAAATTTTCAAATGCCTTAGAAACAGCAGAGTTTTCTCATGTGGCCATCTTTTATTTTATTTTATTTTTTTTTAAAGATTTTATTTATTTATTTGAGACAGAGAGAATGAGAGACAGAGAGCATGAGAGGGAGGAGGGTCAGAGGGAGAAGCAGACTCCCTGCCGAGCAGGGAGCCCGATGCGGGACTCGATCCCGGGACTCCAGGATCATGACCTGAGCCGAAGGCAGTCGCTTAACCAACTGAGCCACCCAGGCGCCCAACGTGGCCATCTTTTAATATGTAGCAGATTTCATTTCAGTTGCAATAGAAGCTGACAGGCTGAAAACTGTAGCAATAGCCTAATTACGTTTTCAGCAATAAAGTGTTCAGGGGAGCACTGGAGAGGAAAGAACTGTCGTGACTGAAAATATTATCTGCAAAAATTAATACACTCAATAAAATCTTTTATACAGAAACCCTTCAATTCTTGGTTTCCCATGGTGGGCTATTTCCAAACCTGAACTATATATGATTATCTTCAAATTTTGTAAAAAAGATACTGTACTCCTGGCAGGAGCATGGGGGAAAAAGGAATCAAGTACTTACCAAAAAAAGAAGAAAGTTATTCAATCATGCTCTTTTAAAACAAAAAAGCTCAACATTTCCTTTAGGCAGGTGCAATGTCTAAAGGCATTTTCTAAAGATAAACCAGACAAACCGATCATAGCAAATAGATAAAGTGGCAAAGTTGGAGGACAGGAGGTCCAGTTAAATGTCACTATTAACCAAGCTATACAGTAAATTAGATAAAGTTAAGTTAGGATATAATGTGCAAAGTAGAAATTCAAATGAAGTAAAAGTAAGTCTAAATTATGAAATGTCTAAACCAGTAACTTTTAAAGAAACTAATTTATTTTAAAATGCATATAATAACTCAAATGATTAAAAAAAGTGTCACCTAATGACACTCAGTGTCATTAGTCAGTTAAGCATCCGACTCTTGATTTCGGCTCAGGTCATGATCTCCGGATCTTAAGACTGAGCACCACATGGGGCTCTGCGCTGGGCATGGAGCCTGCTTCAGATTCTCTCTCCCTCTCTCCCTGCCTCTTCCTCCCCCACCCTCCCCACCCCCACACTCTCTCTCTCTCTCAAAAAAACAGTGTCACCTAGTAAGAGTCCAAACTAGGGCCTTATGGGATCCATATAATGACTTATAAGTATGATTTATTATCAGTATGTCATTCCATAAATTAAAAACATGCCTTCTATTGAAAGGGTTGTTCAGTTTTGAAATAGTCTCACTATATTTTTAGTTTATTTAACATAGCTTTCTTCATAGATATTGCAAAAGTAAACCCAAGCCCAAATTAACAAGTGCTGACTATTACAAAGAAAGCCATTTAATTTCTCTCTGGCTCATTTTCTTCACCATGATGAAGCCACAGGTAAGATAAAGTCTACACGGGAATCTATATTGTTTGGAAATTGTTGCTAGCTAAATTAGGAAAATAGTCTTAAAGATAATAGGAGTGGCCTAAAACATGCCCAAATTGGTGACATTCATTTTAACTTACTGCTATAGGATTTACTCACTACTGATCCACTATTATTTTTTTTAAAGATTTTATTTATTTGAGAGAGACAGAACATAAGCAGGGAGAAGCAGGCCCCCCAACGAACAGGGAGCCTGATGCAGGGCTCAATCCTAGGACTCTGGGATCAAGACCTGAGCCAAAGGCAGATGCTTACCCGACTGAGCCACCCAGGCACCCCTGATTCACTACTATTATTTAACTGCATATTTCAATGCTGAAGATCAGAATGAGTTAGAATGGTAAATATTATCTGACCTCTTTTTATTTTTTTTCTAAGATTTTATTTATTCATTAGAGAGAGACAGAGAGGAAGAGAGAGAGAGCACAAATCAGGAGGGGCAGAGGGAAAGAATCTTTTTTTTTTAAGATTATTTATTTATTTATTTGACAGAGAGAGAGAGAGAGACACACACAAAAGAGAGAGGGAACACAAGCAGGGGGAGTGGGAGAGAGAGAAGCAGGCTTCCCGCTGAGCTGGGAGCCCAATGTGGGGCTCGATCCCAGGACCCTGGGATCATGACCTGAGCCGAAGGCAGATGCCTAACAACTGAGCCACCCAGGTGCCCCGAGGGAGAGAATCTTAAGCAGACTCCCCTCTGAGCGCAGAGCCCACCACCAGGCTCAATCTCACCACCCTGAGATCATGACCGGAGCCAAAAACAAGAGTTGGATATTTGAGCCACCCAGGCGCCTCTGTCTGACCCCTTTTTAAATTAGGGATAAAACTAATTTTTAAGATGTTTGCAGTTAGCAGACTGGCAAGTACAAGGTCACACTGTACATAATGGCAGCATAAGAACTATGTGGCTAGGTGTGCACACTATTCCATTATTAAGCTATGTATTTAATGAAGGGCATTAATATTTCAATCGTAACAGGTATAAATGATGCACCAATGTCAATTTACCAAGTACTAGTTGAAGTCAGAAAACATTAAAGCGTTTTCTAAAAGTCATAATTTATTCCCAAAAGGATTACTCACTCAAACAAAATCTGTAATCTACTGTTAACTACCTGAATTTTGCCGCTTGGGATATATCCTGAAGTGCATTTAGTTTAATATACAAAAAGACTAGTACTATAAAATATAAAATTTTGCTTTTAGATTCTGGACCTGACAAATGTTATGATTTCTTTCTCAATTAATACCTAAGTTCAAAGAACTCAAGTAAGAAGAAAGCTCATTAATAATAGGAAATATTTTATTTATATTTGTACAAATATGCAATTTTTCCTAAATTTTGGTTAATTATAAAATGGAGTCAATACTTAATAGCACAGATTCTGTCACAAATCTATTAAGTTCTGATGGCAAAATAAAATATGAAAGAAAGTTATTTGTTTAAACTATTAGCATCTCTTTTCCCCCTTATTCCCCAATGAGGTGGGAGCTCTTTAAATCAATAAATTAACTCCCCTAAATAGAAAAAAAGAAAACATAAAACTGTACTAACTCAGACCAATACTTACCAATTGAATCCTAATGAAAGGCAAGCTGTCAAATTCATATAAAAACTAAGCAAATGACATTACTGAGATGATATACATTATCCAGTAGCCTTAAGTCCCAAAGACCTTTAAAAGATGTTTTCTGAACTGAATGATTTATAATTAACACCACTGAATATATTAATAATAGTTATTAATTAATAATTAATTCTAAGCACCACAATTTATTTTCTTAAGTATCCAAATGTTTCCATCTTGTTTATGCTATCATTACTTGTTTAAGCTTTTTAACAGATACCTATGTATTCCACAGCAAATTCACATTAAGCTGGAAATTAGTCTTGTATCTCAGACTAGAGCACTCACAAGCAAGTTTGGAGAGGGTAAAAGAATTCCAAGCAGCTGAGGGGCGCCTGGGTGGCTCAGTTGGTTAAGCGGCTGCCTTCGGCTCAGGCCATGATCTCAGGGTCCTGGGATTGAGCCCCGCATCGGTCTCCCTGCTCAGCGGAAAGCCTGCTTCTCCCTTTCCCTCTGCCTGACACTCTGCCTACTTGTGCTCTCTAACTCTCTGTCAAATAAATAAATAAATCTCTTTAAAAAGCCAGTAGGCCCAAAGGAGTAATTTAAAAAAAAAGAATTCCAGGGCACCTGGGTGGCTTAGTTGGTTAAGCGACTCCCTTCGGCTCAGGTCATGATCCTGGAGTCCCCGGATCGAGTCCCGCATCGGGCTCCCTGCTCAGCAGGGAGTCTGCTTCTCCCTCTTCCACTCCCCCCCTCTTGTGCTCTCTCTCTCTCTCTCTCTCACTCTCTCTCTCAAATAAATAAATAAAATCTTTAAAAAAAAAAAAAAAAGAATTCCAAGCAGCTGAGATAAAACTCGGTATCTCTGAAAGGAATCCAATGAATGATTAAATTCAAACCTTAGTTCAAAGGTTTGTGAATTACAAACAGACAAAAATCACAAATAAGTGTGTCTATGTTCAAATTTAAGACGTTGGAAAACCAAACATGATTTTTTTTTTTTAAAGATTTATTTATTTGAGATAGAGAGCAAGAGTAGGGGGCAGAGGGAGCTGCAGACTCCCCGCTGAGCAGGAAACATGATGCAGGGTTCAATCCCAGGACTCCGGGGTCATGACCTGAGCTGAAGGCAGGTGCTTAACCGAATGAGCCATCCAAGCACCCCCAAACATGATTTAAACACGGTCAATGGTTTAAGTCATCCTTGCCAACTGCTCATGCTCCACTACCAAGAATACATTAGCCAGCCTCTTAAGAGTCAAAAATCTGTCAGTATGGGGGCACCTGGGTGGCTTGGTCGTTGAGTGTCTGCCTTTGGCTCAGGTCATGATCCCAGTGTCCTGGGATCGAGCCCCATGTCGGGCTCCTTGCTCAGCGGGGAGCCTGCTTCTCTCTCTCCCCCTCCCCCTGCTTGTGTTCCCTCTCTCGCTGTCTCTCTCTCTTTCTCTGTCAAAAAAAAAAAAAAAAAAAAAACCCACAAATTAAAAAAAAAAAAAAAAGCTGTCAGTGTGTCTCAAGCTATTAGCTTAGTTTTTGAGTTAAGGTCCCCAAACAGAAGGTTAAGTCAAGGCAAACAAATATGTAAAACAAAGACAATCTTTTAAAACTACCAAGAAGATAAATCTAGAACATCCTCTGTTACAGTCTAATGATCACACAAATTGTGGAATACTTTTTCCCTTTCTTCACATGGAACAATAAATCAATGCTAGCCACATAAAAGTAACAGCGCTTTATCAAAATTAAGAGATAATTTCTTTTTTTAAAAAAAGATTTTATTTATTTTAGAGAGAGGGCATGCGCTCAAGGGGGAGAAGCAGAGGGGAAGGGGTAGAGGAGGAGGGAGAAAGAATCTGAAGCAGACTCTGCACCAAGCTCAGAGCCCAATGCAGGACTCAATCCCACAACCATGAGATCATGACCTGAGCCGAAACCAAGAGCTGGACTCTCAACCAACTGAGCCACCCAGGTGCCCCAAGAGATTATTTCTACCCACAAACTTACTGCTGGTCTCCGAGGTTCTCCAGGCAATTGTGGAGGATAAACAATTTTATTCTTCTTTTCCCATCTTCGAGAAATGTCCAGAGACCCACTTGTGTGGATATGTGATTGGGGTAAAACATTATGAGATGAAAGAAGCCTGTAAAACAAAAGACACTTAGAATCTTTTCCAGAGCTTACGAATCTCCTGAATCACATCAGCTCCATTGTGAGCAAAACTCTTTAAGGATCACAAGTGGAAACAGTCTAGATGTTAATTAACAGAGAACAATTTTACATAAAATACCATAGAGAGCTAGTTCACTGAAAGCTAGGAGTAAAACGTTGATAACCAGCGTTAAGTCAAATAATAAATAGATATTACCTCAAGATCTCTTGCTCTGACTGACCAAAAAAAGTATTGACTCTTTAATATAAGCCAGCTCAGGGCGCCTGGGTGGCTCAGTTGGTTAAGCGACTGCCTTCGGCTCAGGTCATGATCCTGGAGTCCCTGGATCGAGTCCTGCATCGGGCTCCCTACTCGGCAGGGAGCCTGCTTCTCCCTCTGACCCTCCCCCCTCTCATGTGCTCTCTGTCTCTCTCATTCTCTCTGTCTCAAATAAATAAATAAAATCTTTAAAAAAATATATATATATATAAGCCAGCTCAGTCCTAAAACAGAGTTAAAGAAGATAAAATGGATCCCTGACCTAACCTGTGGAATTCCTCAATTTTGTGGAGTAGGCAGGACAAATCACAATATTTTGTAATCCTTAAGAAATTAAAAGATAAAGCTGGCATTACATGCCTCCTGAGGAAAGAAATCACTACCCACCATCCATGAAGTAGTCTTTCTGCAAAAAACAAACCTGAATTAATGGAGCTTCTAGATTCAATACAGGAAATAGAGAGACAGGAGAACATGTTAAACAATATGAGGGGGATGCACTCAGCAAAATCCAAGCTGTACAAATTCTACAAGACAAACAGGCCACTTTCTTCAACAAATAAATTACAAGGGGAAAAAGAAAGCTGAATAAAGAACCAACTGATTAAGAGACTTCAAAGAAATATCAATTAATTCCAATGTGTTGATTAAAATTTTAAAAGTACAACAGTTATTTAACCATTGCAAATTTGAACATTAACTGGATATTTGATACTTTTTAGTGAGATATATAGTGAAATATTTATGAATTAAATAATATGGTGTCTGGGATTTGTTTCAAAATATGATGGGAGAGAGTAGGGACCATAGATAAAATAAGATTGGCCATGAGTTGAAGCTGGGTGATAAGTTCATGAGGGTTCATCATATTATTATCTACTTTTGTATGTCTGGGTATATCCAAAAAACACACAAACTTGGTGTTTCCCTGCTGTGCAGAATATAGAGTCTAAATTCCTAGGAAGACACAGAAGGCCTTTTATAATCTAACCCCAACAGCCATCTTGGCTCATTCACCTTATGGCCTGGCCACACAAACATTCCTTGTTCTCTGAACAAACCACATACTTTCATATCTTTATACTTTTGATTATATTGTTTTTTCCTCAATCATCATCTCCTGAATGAAATGCTTATCCTGTTTTAAGCTCCAGCTCAATTGTCACCTCAATGCAAGGCATCACCTGATCCCTTCTCCCAGACAACCATTCTCCCCACTATCTTCGTATTCTGTTCTTACCAGCCATGCAGCAGCGAGTTGGAACTATGGTACTCTAAGGTGGCTGTATAAGAATGAGTTCCTGTAGTAAATGTGCACTTGAGCATTGTGAAGGCAAGTATACCATCCTCTGTAATCTAGCACTAAGGACAGTATCTGGCACATGGAGGGGCGCCTGGGTGGCTCAGTCGGTTAAGTGTCTGCCTTCGGCTCGGGTCATGATCCCAGGGTCCTGGGATCGAGCCCCACATCGGGCTCCCTGCTCAGCGGGAAGCCTGCTTCTCCCTCTCCCACTCCCCCTGCTTGTGTTCCCTCTCTCGCTGTGTCTCTCTGTCAAATAAATAAATAAAATCTTTAAAAAAAAAAAATCTGGCACATGGATACTGAGTATTTAACCCAGACTTAAATATTCAAAGTTGTTGTAAATTGGCAGATTTTCACACAGTTTATGCAACTGGATAATACACTTAGCAAGGCCTTTGTTTTTAGTTTTTAAACCATTCAGACTAAAGAATTTCTTTTTTAAGATTTATTTATTTAAGAGGGAGAATGCAAGCAAGCGTGAGCAGGGGGAGGGGCAGAGGGAGAGAGAGAGAATCCTGAAGCAAATACCCCACTGAGCGGGCAGCAGTGCCACCCAGGCTCCCCCAGGCTAAAGAATTTTAAAAATCTATTCTCCTACTGGCTCATTTCTACTACTCTATCTCAAGTTCACCATTTTACATCCTGATATTAAGATCAGTACCATCAAAATACTTGACAAAAACTTTGCCATCCACATTTAGGTTCCACTATTTTAACTGAAAAGCACAAGACTAGGATACATGATGTTAGAGGGCAGAATTTCCTAAAAAAACAACAACAACAACAACTATAAGCCATGGGATGAGAGCAGAGACTGTGGAGTCAAGTAAACCTGAGTCTAAATCTTAACTCTAATATGAGGTAAATGACCTTGAGGAAGTCACATAACTTTCCAGAGCTCAGTTTTCTCATTGGTTAATGGAATAAAAACCATAATTACCTCATAGGCTTCTTAAGGAACTCAAATAAGATACTTTAAGTAAAATACTTAACCTGACACTTAAAAGGGCTCAATAAAATTGATGTTATTACTTCTAGAATGATAAGAATAATACCCACTTTATTCTGTCAAGTGGTGGGTAAATAATTAATGTACCACACCCTAGAGTTCCTAGCACATGATAAACATTGATGGCTAGTACTAACTTTAAATCAGGCCCTCTGAACAGTTCATCTCTCCTGTTCTCCAAAAAACTGAACACTATGAACTGTAAACTTTATATTACACAATTTCAAAACTTCTTTTCATGTTTCTAATCATGATCATTTGCTTCTATGCTGCTGTAATTCAGGGGTACACTAAGTTTATCAATTCTCTGGGCCTCCAGTTTTTTATGAAAAGAGGAATTGAGTACATTATCTCTAGGGGCTCTCTGAACCTTAATTCTATCTTGAATCTCATTGTTGACACAGGATTACAGAAACACAAATCCCTTGGCGTCTATTTAATTCTTCAATGAAACCACTGTTACACCAACCAGTCTGAAAGAATGCTTGAGGGTGAGGCCTGTGCCTTCTGTATCCATCATACCTAGCACCGTGTCTTTTTTTTTTTTTTTTAAAGATTTTATTCATTTATTTGACAGAGAGAGGCACAGTGAGAGATGGAACACAAGCAGGGGGAGTGGGAGAGGGAGAATCAGGCTTCCCACTGAGCAGGGAGCCCGATGTGGGGCTGGATCCCAGGACCCTGGGATCATGACCTGAGCCAAGGCAGACGCTTAACAACTGAGCCACCCAGGCACCCTAGCACAGTGTCTTATACTCAAATCAATACACATTCAATGAATTAAATATGGTGCTTAATAAATTAATCATTAATAAATTAATTATGAATAAATAATGACAAAGATGTCTGAATACCTACAATACTTTCAGGGCTCAAATGGCTCATAAAATGAATTATCAAGCAAATACTAAACAACTGTAATCAAATTAAATTAAAATATTATTCCAAACAGAGCACTTAATTCAGGAATGTATTAAATCAAAAGTACTTATACGCCCTCTCTTGGTCAACTGTTGGAATAACACCGAATTAAAGCAGAAAATTAAGCAATCATAAAGTAAATTGAAAATCTTTAATTCAAAACTTAACTACATAATTTGAAACTTACAACTTTTGAGACCTTTTTATGTAAGAAATACTGTGAAGACTCACTAGAGAAAAGGAAGTCAAGAAAAGGAAATTAGTGGAATTAACAAATGAGAACCTGAGTTACTGCTGGAATCCATTTCCTTCTGTAAAATTTTTTTCCAACAAATATTAAAATTTAAGTCTGCCTAGCACTCTAGTTCACTGTTAGCATTCTAAAGAATCAAAACTAGTTAAAACCTTTAAAAAAAAATGAAAGGCATTCAGGATCAACTTTTATCATTTTGAAAGTCAAGTATCATTACTGATATTTATTATATCCTTTCATTTATTGGGAAGCTCAAGTCCTTTTAGCTTCACTAGACCTCTGTACAGTGGATGAAGGAAGGTAGGCCTGAACCAACTCTCTAAAGTGCTTGTACACATAACAGATATACAGGTGCCCACATTATGGTGAGACTGCCAGAGTCCAAACGGAAAGTAGGTGGTATACTGAAACTAGCATACGAACGTCATTACTCCTGTTACTCTCGTGTCTTCCATCTACCGCTGCTTAAGGATTCAGTTTAAGTATCACTTTTCAAATTCTTCCCATAGTCATTAGACATTGAAAAGTAAATTTACAAAGTAAATTTTAGGATTAAGAATTCAGATAAACAGTACGAGAGTTTCTAAAGTCATAATTTAAGGGGCGCCCAGGTGGCTCAGTCGCTTAAGCGTCTGCTTTCGGCTCAGGTCATGATCCCAGGGTCCTGGGATCCAGTCCCACAGCAGGCATCCTGCTCAGCAGGGAGTCTGCTTCTTCGTCTGCCTGCCACTACCCCCAGCTCATACTTGCATGCTCTCTCTGTCTCAAATAAATAAAATCTTTAAAAAAAAAAGTCACAATTTGAGAAATAATACTTGCTACTTATTGCTCAAAGTTCATTTTGCGCTTTAGTACAAGGTATACCCAAATCCCAAGTGAAGATAATACTGGCCTCTGGCTCAACATGAGAATATCATGTTGTTATATGCATCAAGGTAAAAAATTCTTTGTTCCCAATTTACTTCTGTTACATTAAGTTAATCCCACACTTGAGACTGAATAAAAGAACATCCTCCATCTTGCCTCAATTAGAATCTAACAAAAATGACAACCAAAAATGTCTCCAGACATTGCCAAATGTCTCAGGAGGCTGGAGGTAATGGGTGGGGGCAAAACTGCCCCTAGTTGAAAGTCACTATTAGCTAAAGTGACAGAAAAAAAGGGGGTGGGGGGGCAAGAGCTTTTGCAGACTAAGGAGCATGACTTCTCTGTTCCAAAAGGTTCTTGCTATCAGTGTCATACACATGTGGATAGTTAATAAGCCAGATTTTCGGGGAGCCTGGGTGGCTCAGTCAGTGAAGTGTGTGACTCTTGATTTCAGCTCAGGTCATGATCTCAGGGTCCTGGGATAGAGCCCCACCTCAGGCTCCGTGCTCCATGGGCAGTCTGCTTGGGATTCACTCTCCCTCTCCCTCTGCCTCTGTCCCTCCCACCCCTCTCTAAAATAAATAAATAAATCCAAAAAAAAAAGAAAAAGAAAAAGAAAAAGTCCAGAATAAGGATTCATAAAATTATATAACTTCAGGACTAAAAAGAGCCTTAGGCATTATCCAGCAAAATCCTGTATTACATAGATGAAAAGACTGAAGACAAACTGCTTAAGTTGCTTGCTCAGAGCTTCCAAGTATAAGTCAGTGCAGGACAATTTAAGTCAACAAACATTAACAAAATATTCACTTTGTGCAAGACCCTAACTTGGAACTATAAAGAGAAGTAAGAACTGTCCCTACCTATGCAGGGTATATAAGCTAGTAAAGAGCACAGACACATAACATGAAGCCACTGTTTGAGACACACATGCTAAAAGGAGAGATTAATTTCTTTCCTTTTCAGTGAGATCTGAGAAATCTAAATAAGAAACATTTGAACAGGGACGCCTGGGTGGCTCAGTCGGTTAAGCGTCTGCCTTCGGCTCAGGTCATGATCCCAGGGTCCTGGGATCGAGTCCCGCATCAGGCTCCCTGCTCTGCGGGGAGCCTGCTTCTCCCTCTGCCTCTGCCTCTCTCTCTCTGTCTCTCATGAATAAATAAATAAAATCTTTAAAAAAAAAAGAAAAGAAACATTTGAACAGGGTTTAAATAATTAGAACTCATATTATAGACAGGAAGTGAAGGCACAGTATGAAAGCCAAGAAGCAAATAAATGACAGCATATTCAGATGAAGTAAGTAAATTAGCATAGCTAGGATGGAATAGTAAGAGATAATCTAAAAAAAAGCAAAGTATAGACAAATCCTAAGGGGCAGTGCCTCCTATTTTCTTCTTTAGCCCACCTCTTCGGTCCTTTGACTGAAGAACTGGAAACAGAGCTAAATATAATGGGAACTCAGTAATAATTTATAATGATAAAAACAGTAATGGCAGCTAGAATCTAGGGTGGGACTGTTATACGCCATGCACTATACTAAACACTTCATATGCATTACCTCATTTAATCCTCATAAAAATACTATGACATAGGTACTAATATTACTCTCCTAGCATACATAAATACTAAAACTTAGAAAAGATAAATAACTTTTCCAAAATCATACAGTTTAAAAAGGGGATTCACACCCAACTCGTCTGTCTCCGAAGCCTATAAACTAAACCAAAATAAATTCCAACAAATGTGCAGATCAGACAATTTACACTCAGATTATCAATCTCCAAATATCAACAGCTGTACTGCAGAAGAGGGGAAGAGGGACAAGGAGAAGGTGGCAGAGAAAGGCTCCTTGACAGTCCTGACTTAACTGCATTCCCTAACCTTAAAAAAACCCATTTGTCCTGAGGTCTAAGAATGCTCTGGAGAATACAGTATAAAGCTTTAGAACTTCCAATGATTAGGGAGCCTTAGGAAAGTTATTTTACTTTGGGGAGCTTCAATTTCCTTGTCTGAAAAATGGGTGTAGCAATACGTACACTATGCAAGTTGTTATGAGAATGTGATAACGCATATAAAGCGTTTAACACAATGCTAGACACGTTGTAAAGCGCGGTTATCTACAATACAGTCCCTGCTCAGATAACCAAGTAACCAGAGAGGTAACTAGAAAACTCGGACGCTCCCAACACGGTTGGGAGAGTGTAACCATGTTCAGAGATTATTTAGAAAAGAGATTTACAATGTCCCCTAACAGGTTATCCTGATTCCCTCAGAGCTATGTAATACGGCGGCGGAAAGATGGAGTGACCAAGCAGAGACTGGCTGTCTCGTTCGCTTCCACAGCCCCAGAGCCTAAATGCTGAGGGTGGCAGACAGGCCCTCAGTAATTGACAAACCGGGAAGGAGGCCTTGAGCCTCTGCAACTCCGAGGCGAAAGACTTACCCTAAGGCCAGCTTCCCCCTCAGATTCTGTATCCTTAATGCACCTGAAACATTAACACAAGCGGTCAATTCAGACTCCCACCTCCACTCCCTTCTACCACGCCTAAACCACTAAGAAATCCCTACCCTACTCATTCGTACCCATACGTTCCAGTATTGCCGCCGCCATCTTTCTCCCTCCCTCTACGGAAGCCTCCGAGTTCATGCACTGTGTGGACAAAGCGCATGCGCAATTCTTAGGTGCCTCCTTTCTCCTCCTCCCCCCCCCCCCCCCCCCCCGCGGGAGACCTAGCAGTATTTACACCCGGGATGCTGTCATGGAGACCGCGAACACGTCGCCTGCTCTATAGGCGTGATCCGGACAGCCTTGCCTGGGAATGAATGACTTTAATAAAGGCCAAAACTAGTGAGTTTCTGAACATTCATCAAGATCCAAAAAAATTGAGAAACTTCGGGGCGCCTGGGTGGCTCAGTGGTTAAGCCTTGGGCTCAGGTCATGATCCCAGGGTCTTGGGATCGAGCCCCGTATTGGGTTCCCTGCTCGGCGGGAAGCCTGCTTCTCCCTCTCTCACTCCCCCTGCTTGTGTTCCCTCTCTCTCGCTATCTCTGTCAAATAAATAAATAAAATCTTTTAAAAAAAAAAAAAGAAAGAAAGAAAAAAGAAAAATTGAGAAACCTCACCTCACAAGGGGCCGGAAAGATTGGGAAAAGAGAGGTGGGCCTCAGTTTTCTTCTGAGCAAAACAAAAACAACTATCCCTACAGCACAGGCTTGTTGTGAAAATCACTAGAGATCGTGTGGAAAGCTCTACAATGTACAAACAGCTCGAATACAAAGTATGAGGTCCTAATCCCTATGTTAATCTCCAGGTTGACCTCCAAGAGATAAATTAATACTCACTGGCAACTTGCTACCATACATGCCCGGCAGGCGTTTCACTAAATCTATGTATTCCTCACAGCAATCCAACAAGGCATGGATTATCATCTTCCTTCAAATGAGGAAACAGATCAGGATAGGTTAAAGTCTCTCCGACAACTGGCAAAACCACTAATTCAATCCGGGGCTGGATGCCTCCAAAATTAGTGCCCCTACCCACATCCAAATATATGCTTGACCTCTTTACATAAGGATACATATTTCAGGTTTCGTTCACTTCCTATGCAGGACTGCCACATGCCCTCTGCAAAGAAGCAATACAGGAGTAGGAGAGTGCAAGCGCAGAATCCGAAACTTTCATTCCTTTCCTCCACAGCAATTAACCATATACAATTCCCTTCACAGAGCTGGCACGCAATCAACAGTTACTCTATTCCGCTCCTCTTTGAGTACTAAGACTCTAGAGCCAGAATTTCCACCCAGTTGCCGGAACTAACTCTTCCTTTCCTTTTTGATTTGATTCAAACTTTTATCTTTTTGTTAACTGGCTTGTTGTAGATGTCTTTAAAGAATCTCCAGAACTGGCAAAGTGCCCTGGCACATAGCGTTCAAAAATACTTGATGGAATAGTGGTTGAACCGGTCCAAAAAATAAAACGGCTGTGCGGGGAGGTGACTCCACAAGTCTAACCCCTTAATTATGTACTTTGCTGTAGGAGGTGAGAATGCCTAACCCCCAGGCTAGGCTCCGGCAGCACCAGACCTTCTCGCCACGGGTGGGACTGGGAGGCGGAGCCCCGCGCGCGCGGCCGAGCCCCTCCCAGCCCCGCGGAGGCGGGAGCAGAGCTCGCGGTGTGGCCTGGGCCTCGGCGCGCGCCGTAGCGGCGGGCCCGGCGAGGCGGGGCTCGGAGCCAACCCCGCCCCCTTCCCAGCTACGGCGTGGGGCTGCGAACGGTCTACCCCTGTGGCTCCTTCGTTCATCCCTGCTGGCTGGTGATCATGGGACAGGAGCCGCGCACGCTGCCGCCTTCTCCTAACTGGTACTGCGCCCGATGCAGCGATGCCGTGCCCGGGGGCCTTTTCGGCTTCGCAGCGCGGACCTCCGTCTTCCTTGTCCGCGTGGGCCCGAGCGCCGGCGCGATCCCTGGGACGCCCCCATTTCGAGGTAACTCCCCACCTCCGGGCCCCCGCCTTCCTGCCCTTCTTGGGTTCGCCGGAGGCGCCGAGTCGGCGTTTCTAGCTACCTTTCTCTACAGATGGGGAAACTGAGGCCCAGGAAGGATCAGCTCACAGTCACTAGGCTGTTGCGTCCGCATCTCCAAGATTGAGCACACCACGCTGTGGCTTAGCGGTCCCGCCTCCTGGCGCTCTCACGTAGGACCGCTCGCTCACTGAAGTTACCCCTTTCTAGACCAAGGCATTTATAACATCTTTGGCCACCCTCCCCCACGCAGCGCGCGCGGGCCCCCTGGGAGCCTTTCTGGGTTTAGGGGCTGCCTACAGCTCCAGGCCCTAAACAAGATCCTGGAAATACATACTTGTTTCTGTAAGATGAATGAGTTGAGCCAGAAGCTTTCAGGCTCCAAACTAGGTTTTGATTATGCCTTGGGATATGGCAAGCTAGTTATTTATTCTTTAACAAATGAGCTCTGGCCATATCTAAATAAGAATCACTTTTACATTCTTCATTTGAGCCACTCCTCAGCCTGTGAACTGTGAACAGCAAGGGATATCAGCAGCATTTTACGGTTGAAAAGAGTGAGGCTCAAGGAGATAAAATGACTGGGCTGAAGTCTTGTGGCAGAGCCAGAACCAGCACTTGGGATTTCTGATTATGAGTGCCTGGATAGTTTCGTTATACCACAGGACAAGTGAGGTCCCACTCATCTAACAACAGTATGATTCTGCCAGGAATCTAGGTAGCACTCTAACCTGAAGTCTGGTTTTCCTTGAAGTCATAGGGGAGTTGGTGGGACACACCGAAAGGGTCTCTGGCTTCACCTTTTCTCATTACCCGGGTCAATACAACCTCTGTGCCACCAGCTCTGATGATGGAACTGTGAAAATCTGGGATGTAGAGACAAGAACAGTCGTGACAGAACATGCACTCCATCAGGTATCATGGCTTAATGGTTTCTCAGACCGTTATTATGTATCTGCTGAGGGTTCGTTTGTTTCAAGTACTCTAGCTCATCTGTGCAAGTTAGCTTTTACGTTCTTAATTGGATGAGAAACTCTAATATATTGTAAGATGCCTCAAAACTTTTTTGGAAGGAGATACATATAAACCAGAGGTCAGCAAACTACAGTGCTGCCTGTTTTTGTAGATTGTTTTTACTGGAATATGGCCACAGTCATTCATTCAAGTATTGGCTGCTTGCGTACTACAACGGCAGAGTTGAGTAGTTGTACCAGAGACATTACGGCTGACAGAGTCTAAAATACCTATTATCTGGTTCTTTACATGAAAAAGACTGCTAATATAAACTGTAAATGAGTGAATGAAACTTGTTTCTAAACTTGATAAATCTGCCTTTTGAGAGAATGTAGAAAAGGAAAAGACTCAATCTTCGTAAGAACTTTGCGAAGCTTTGTTAAGCTGTTAAAGGAAGAAATGTTTTTAAATGGTTCTTTGATCCTTAGGAGCTTAAATTCTTCTACCATTTGGTTCATGTACCCTTGGTATACAAGTGGCAGTAACAGTATTATGTACCTATCAATGTGCCTGGTATTATACAGGTTAAAAACAAACTAAAAATTCAGCACTGACAAATGAGAAGCAAATGTATTTTTGTTTTGTTTTAAAGCATACAATATCAGCATTGCATTGGTCTCCTCAAGTAAAGGATTTAATAGTATCTGGAGATGAAAAAGGAGTAGTTTTCTGTTACTGGCTTAACAGAAATGACAGCCAGCACCTCTTTATAGAACCCAGGACAATTTTCTGTCTTACTTGCTCACCTCATCATGAAGATTTAGTAGCCATTGGGTAAGTGCTGTATCATCTCTACTGGTAATGTATTTTTGTTAATGAGCATATTTTGCATTTGCTTTATCTTCTCCTGTCCCATTTATTCCTCAGAAGAAGCCATTTATAGGTTTTAACCACTCCCTGAGCCTTTGGTAACATTTATTCCTATGACTTCCAGGTCCTTACTATCTCTCTCTCTCTCTCTGTTTATATTTCTTTAGTTTCTACAATAGTGTACTTTCCTCATTCTTCACATCTGATTTCTTCAGTCAGCCTCCAAATGTAGGAAATACCCTCTTTCCCCCTTTCCCTCCCTCAATACTTGCTCTTCAAAAGAACATTTACTCCCAGAGTGTCAGAGGACTCAGCTCTGTCCCGGTTCTCAGCCCTCTGTCTGGATTGGGAGAGTAGTCTGGCATTGGGCTCTCTGCCTGCACCTCGATCACCAAGGTTGTTTCACATAAACTGTGTGAGCAGGCACCCCCCTTTCCCTCACCACTCCATCTACTTCTCTCCCAAAGATGTCTTTTCACTCTAGTTTGAAGAATGGACATAAGCTCTAGAACATTGGAGGAGAAAGTCTGGCTGGAGTGGATTCAAGAAACTGGGGGTACAGTAGTCAAGATACACATGGAGACTTTTGTTTGTTGTACAAATGTGCATAGACATGAAGCCAGAGGAGAGGTATGTGGGAGTCAAGGGAATATTAAATGGAAGATAATAAGGGCATGTTTTTACATTGATGGAAGAGGAAGAGCCGGTTGCACAGATAAATGGTGATAAATACAGCAGTGATATTGAGAAGTCAAGAGGGGATTGGATCCAGATCACAAGTAGAAAGGACAAGTGAGAATATGGAAACAGGTGCAGGTAGGTTTGTTGATCTGGTTGGAAGAGGAGGGTGTTTCATTCTGATGGCTTCTGATTTTCTCCATGAGGCATAAATCAGAAAGGTAGAGTCAAGCTCAAAGTGGGGCTGGGAGCATGCAGGAAGATGTGAAACTAGTCATCTGAGAGAATAGGAAAACGAGCTTACTGAGGGACATTGTAGGTCCAGTGGTTCCTATTGAGTGCCAAGCTATGAATCAAAGTCATGAATTCAAAGTAAACTATTCAAACTGATTGAGAAAGGGTATGGTTGGATTCAACAAAGTTTGGGGTTTTGTGGAGTAAATACCTCTGAGAGAGATGGGACAAAGGAGCTAAGGGTGTTTTTAAAGGAGTGATTAGGATGATGGATGGTGAAATCTGCGGCATGAGGGAAAGGATAGGAAGACAGTTGTGGGTGTGTAATAGTGAAAACTGAAGGAGTCTGTGGATCAGAGGTCTGCTGGGTGAAGTGGGAGCACTAGAGAGGGAA